CTTGCCTTTGTTGAAGGTCCAGGTCCTGGCCTAGACAGAGTCTTGAGTTTTGTCTTATTCTTTGCCGGCCATTCGGCACGCTCCCCCACCCTCCTCGCTTGCAGACGAATATTGGCAGCAACATCCCGAACTGCACAACGTGCCCATTTACTATGCCTCTGCTTTGGCCAAACGCTGCATGGGCGTCTTCAAAGCTTTTGTCAACATGATGAACCCCAAGATTCAGCAGCAGATGAAGATTTCAAACCCCTTTCAGTTTCAGTTCATTCACAACCTCCGAGTACGACCGTGGCGCATGGCTGGTGGTGACTGCGCTCATTCCTCGCTTTGGTCTTATTTCTGTGCACGCCGACTCACTTGGGACTTATTGCGTCTTGCATGGCCATTCTAACTTTTGTCTGATCAACCAGAAACTCGACGAGTTTGACGACCACGGTAGGTTTTTGCAATTGTAAAGCCCTTTCCCAAGGCCACAAGAGTACAAGAGTACCAGCTTTGGGCCTTCCCATCTCGTATCGCGGAGGGCCACGCTCACTGGTACCTCTGTAGGCTCCTCGGTGGTGCTGGCCACGCCTGGCATGCTACAAAATGGGCTGTCCCGCGAGCTCTTTGAGCGCTGGGCGCCCAATCGTCACAACGGCGTGATTCTGGCGGGTTATCACGTAGAAGGCACACTGGCCCATGAACTTCTCAAACAACCTCGACAGGTCTGCTACCCCTACACTTTGCCTAGGCCCCCGTGACGCAACTTGCCTGTCATGGCATCCTCTCACACCCTTTTTCCCCTCTTAGATTCGCTCGATGGCAGGGGGCACGGTGCCCCGCAACTGCACCATTGCTAACATCTCTTTCAATGCCCATGTGGACTCGATTCAAAATCGTGATTTCATTGGCGAGCTTGAGCCTCAACACTTGGTAATTCATGGCATTGGGGCTGGTGCATCCAGTCCGTCCCTTCCTCGAGCCATAAATTCAAGCTTGTGCTTTTATTTATCTGCTCTGTTCACTTGTTCCTTGTTTGCCTGGTAGGTGCTGGTCCACGGCCAAGAATCCCAAATGCGCAAGCTCAAAGAATCAGTGCTCAAGGACTTTGAGCAGCGAGACCGTCTCATCTCCGTGTACAACCCCAAAAATACCGAGAAGCAGCTCTTTCACTACCGTGGCGAAAAGAACGCCAAGGTACCACCAGCCCCAAACCGAGCCGCCTTCTCGTTTTCTTTTTCTTTTGTTCTTTTCTTTCTTTCTTTTTTTTTTTTTTTTTTTTTTTTTCAATTCATTTTTTTCCTGGTTTTTTTTTTTTTTTTTTTTTTTTTTTTTTTTGCAAAGCCGCGCCCATCTCACCCTCCTTGCTGAATTTTTTTTGGGGGGGGACCTTTTGGTCACCGTGTTTAGGTGCTGGGCAAGCTGGCTCGCGAGTTTGCCGCTGGGTCGCGTCGAATCTCCGGCGTACTCGTCTCCAAGGCCTTTGATTACAAGATCATGCACCCCGATGAACTAGCCGAATTTACACAGCTGCGCGTGGCGCGCATTCGTCAACGCCAGACTCTACCCTTCCAATACGACCTGCGCCTTCTCAAGGTCATGCTCGAGCAGGTAAGCCATTGCAGCAATTCAGTCATCATCCAACCCTTCTTAAACTGCCACACTAAGCAGCCTGAATCAAGCCTCACGTGCTATACTGGGCCACCCAACTTTGACTCGTCTCAGGTTCATGGCCACGACTCCATCGAGATGATGACCCGTGATCATGGTGACATTCTCTTTGTGCGTTGAAGGCGCCCATTGCTCCGCAGCTCTTGACCTGGTCGCTTTTAACCTGGCCCACACACTCACCACGCCTACGCTGCATGAACGTGCGGCAGTTTATGGGCTGCATCGGCGTCTCACACCAAGCTGATGCCAAGACCATCCGCCTAGAGTGGGACGCTTCCCCAGAAAGCGACATGTGGGCCGAAGCCATTATTTCGGCTGCATTGCAAGTTGAGGCTTCTCCAGCCACCATCCGACGTAAGTAGCACGCCATGCCCATAATTGTCTGCTTGGTTATTAAACGCCCCCCCCCCCCCTCTTCAGCCTTATCCGATGTTGTAACACTTACGTCTGGATTCGCCACCCGTGCTTTCAGTGGCGTCCGCGCAGCTTAAGCATGCTAAGGAAGTGGAATCAAACACTTCCCAAGCTAGCACGTACGTGAAACGCATGCTGTTTTTATTGGCTCGACATATTATCCACATGCCTGCATCGTGCGTTTGATGAAGGCTGACTTACACATGCATTTTGGCCTTGTTTTCGGTCTGCGTGTTTCTTGTTTTTGCTTGCTTATTATGCACCAGCCTGTGCCGTTTGCTTTCCGACTACTTTGGGAGCTCTACGGTGGTTCGCGATTCGGACTCGACGCTGCGCGTCACGGTGGACCAAGCTGTGGCCACCATCAGCATGCCCTCATTCCGGGTACGCTACACTCTTTGAATTCTTGGTACATCCATGATTATGATTCTCCTCATTCATTTTTCAACCCGATTTGTGAGAAACACAGGTTGCTTGTGAGGAGCCAGCTCTCCGCACTTCCATACTCGCCGTTCTAAAGCGATTCCAAGCTACTAATCCGACCAGCAGGGATGCTGCCCAACCGACAGATGAAGCCGCCATCTCAAAAGAAGCGATCAAACCTGAAAAACTCGAACCTGTGACTGAACTCAAAGCCGAACCCTCAGCATAAACTGGAATTGGTTTTGAGTGTCTCAAATTGACTCTTGACTAGCCCGTTCTTATTGTTTTGATCTCAAACATTGCGTTTTCCCACGCGCGGCATCAATTGGTGACAAACTCTTGCACGCAATCGTTCAAAATATTGACAGCCTCGAAGAAGGCGCAACGTCAATCCCAATCATTTTGCTTTACTTATCAGCGGTTTCAGCCAATGGGAGCTTCGCCAGCTCTGTCGCCACGGCAGCAGCCAATGATCGTCCCTGGAGGCTGACCGGCGCTCCTACTGCAGGTCCTGGCGCCGCTTGGCGCTCAGCGGCGCTTAAAGCGACCTGCAAGTTGCGCATCGCCTGATCTCGACTCAACACATGCCCGTGATACAGCACAAGCGATGCCCAGTATCGCTCCTGTGCCTCGCGCTCCGACTCGAGCGCCAACACAGAAGCCAGCGCTGCTGAAGGGGGTTCGCCCGAGGTTTGACGACCAGAGCTTGTTGTAGTGTTGGCCGCAGTGTCGGTCGTGATGCTGGTCGCCGGTGTCCCTGTTTGTTCCTTGTCTGGCGACACTGTTTGAATGGTGTTTTGGTCTTGCCATTCGGCCGGCGGTGCCATCAAACGCAGCACATCACGAACACGCCACGCCTCCAACTCGTTGGTCTACGCCGCACCCCGATTCCGAAGTTGAACCAAGAATATAGAATATACAAACGGCACAGGTGAGCAGGTTGGAAACTTGGTTGCAGAAGTCTTTGTTGAGCGGTTGGGCAGGTCAGGGCTCGCCAGCCGAGGAGCTCCTTTCTCCCGAAAGTGGTAAGACTTACTTTTTGGCCCTCCATGACCTCGCTCCCGCGCCCATGAAGCTCTTCAGCTGCAGTAAAAATGCCCATCTCGATACTATCTTCAATCAAAAGCTGATGGACGTGTGTTTCCCGTGCCTGGCCTACACGCTGCACTGCTCACCCAGAAAACAATCAAGAGTGAGCTCTTTGATGCTCATTTTTTCCTACATGTAAGTTCGATCATTCACCACATTCCCACTGCCACGCACCACGAGCGAGCGCTTGTGCGCGCATGGCTGGATTCAGCTCCGCATCCAGCAAAATGATGTGGTTTGCAGCCGTAAGCGTCAATCCGTTGGCACCACTAACGTCAAGGGTGGCATGTTTACCAAAGCCCGGTCAAAGATGGGTCTGAAAAAGGCGTGATAAAACAGCTATAGGCTATTTGACAGAAAAATGGGAGGTCAACGACAACTATAGAGAGAAAGCCTGGCACGCACCCGTGAAGCGAGAGGCGAAGACATAGAACCTTGATCTGAGCATCATGTTGAAAGTGTTGCACCTGCTCACACCATGTAGAATGAACCCAAGCAGTAGGATGCAAGCGTCACGCATCTGACCCACATATTGCCTGGTCTAGCCCGAAGCTGCCCAGAGTTGCCGGTCGTTCGACGTACCTCATTGGCTCCCTGCTGCCCTGATTTCATCAGCAAGGTTTGTACCCCATTGTGCTCGGCAAATTTGCAAAACAGTTGTAATACCTACAAAGTCCAAGTCATCTTGAGCCTGAAGAAGTGATGCATGCCTTCTTGTGGTCCCCTCCCCTGTGCCAGCGTACCTCGTGCCACTGCGAAAACACCAGCACTTTTGCTGAGGGCTCGTGCTTCACCAAGCCCTTGATGAGCCGAACGGCGGCCTCCAACTTTGCACTAGTAGGCACATAACCAGCACGTTCAGTTTGGCTTGCGCAAGCAGATGTTTGTGTCGCATCAACCGACCTGGATTGGCCGGCCAGCGTTTCAGAGACTGCCCATATTGGAAGGCCGCGACTGGCTTCCACAACAAGATGCGAGCCCTGTTCAGTAGCGGCAGCAGAAGTAGTACTCGGAGGACCAATGGTGGAGGTTGCAGGCGCTTCCAAAGGAGGCGCTTCGATTCCTTGAGTCTGCACGCGCTCCGCCTCGGCAATTGGTGTTGAGCGCTTGCACATTGGGCACAGTACATTTCTATCAAACGCCAGTAAACTGAGCAGGGTGACTGTGGTAGGCTGAGGTAGGGATGCCATGTGATCAAGGATATTGGACGCACCGCCGCTGCGCGCCGCGGCTCAGGGACGCAAAGCAGGCTGCGCAAACGTGGTGCGCACAATTAAGCAAGAAGTTGATGGGTCGTGTCTCCTGTGTGAGAGCATCAAATCCCAGTCAGTTTAAAGCGACATGACTGCAGTGCCGAGTGTCCAAACAACCTTACGTAGCAAAGGGGGCATTCTTGCACCAGTTCCCGTGCTACCTACACATGAGCACCACGATGCAGCAGGTGGGTAAAAGCGACGCCAGTTGTGTCTCCACAGCATCCGATCAATAAAATTTTGTCCTCATCAAAAACAAACACCACGTACTGTGCCCGTCAGATACGTGAGCTGTCGCCAAGCATTATTCTCCAGCTCATGTTTGCTGGCTTCAAGCTGCATCCTATAGCATGAAATGAAGGAAGAGCCATAAACTCCTAAAACGGGCCAAAGACACCGAGGCATTGGCCGCCGGTAGCTAAGGATTTAATAAGATGGGCTACACCACAACGCTAGACCTACGAGTAGGTCTGTCGATCGCCTTCAACATCAAAGACGTAATGTGTAGGGCTATCGGTCCACTCAAAGCCTTCAGGGGCCAGATCTATGCGCTGTGCTTGCCAAAACAGATGCCGTTTTTAGGTGGACACCCCCACTTTACTCCACAAGCATGCCGTTGCACTTTGCACTCTCTGGCCCTCTGCTCGCTCACCAATACACACGACGCCAATTCATCGAGGACGGAGACTCGATCGTAAAGTGCGATGATCAGACGATGCATGCGCATTAACTCCTGTGATGACAGTGATAGGCCGGCCCAATGAGAAGACAACGTTAGAAAGCAGAGGAATGTACCTTTATTTAAGAATTGAGAAAGGTACTTGCATTTGGGAAAAATTGACGAAAGAGCCGCTCCACGGCACGCGCTTCTGTCGGCAGCTGATAACCAAGACCGTGGAGGCTCGATACAACCGCACTCAGGGCTAGAGCTGCGGCGCTGGGCGTGAGGTCAGTCGCTCGTGCTATTCCACCAAAGTCTGAGGCCGCACGCTGACCTGGGAGCCAGGTTGAGAGCACGGCACAACCATGAGAGTACCACGAGAATCGTCTCGTCTGCATCAATGCTGGGGCCAGCCATACCGATTCCCATGCTGGAGCTGGGCGTTGAGAGAACTGTGCACTCAAAGCTATGTACCGCGCGGTCGCATTGGCACAGTAGGCAGGGCTCCGTGGACGGGCGCATCGGGACGGTCGGATGATTGGTGCTGCGGCAGTTGCTGCAAGTAGCCGCGTGTATCACCTCCTCAGGGGTCGGAGTGCGGAGCTGCACGGCATATACCCCACAAAGCAATACCCATCAAGACAAACAAAAAAAAAGCAGGCAAGTAACAGCAGTGTGACCGTGTACACAAATACAATCGACAAGAGGTGACAGGAAACACCACGTACCGCACGTTGCAAGAGCTGGAGAGCGCCATCTCGCGCCTTCCACAGCTTGTCCATATGTTGAGCGATAGTATGTTTGAGCGTGCCCAAGCTGCTTTGATCGATGAAACAGTTGCCTCCGCTTTGAGACCGGGCCTGGTGCAAAATGATATGAGAACTCAGAGTGCCCCAATGAAGGACTGTCAACGAACAAGGCACCAAAATTTGACGCCATTTTGAAAAAAAAAGAACACGTACTTCGAGAGCCCGCCAGACGTCAGCCAAAATTCGGGGCCCGTGCGCTTCACGCTCTGCTGCCAGAGTCAGCAATGGGATGAACCAGAGGCACAATGGCCGAAGCTCCTTGACACGGGCCTCCTGCCATGCAAGGCCAGTCGGCAAATGTAGCCGGGGGGATGGTCAGCTGTACCCGGCCTCGACCCACAAGAGCAAGGGTATCAGCCCGCATATTTGCGTGCAATGCCACGTACGCTCACAGCATGCAGCCATTCGCCGTGCGCAGCCTCGACGGCCAAGCGCGCCTCTGACGTTAGTTTGGTGCGAAGGGAGGTGCGCTTTTCGGCATAGTCTGCCAATTCTGCGGCCTCGACTGGAGGCGCATCGGATCGATGAGCCACGTCGAGGAAATTGTGAACGGCGTGCAGCGCTTGGAAGCGATCGGGCTTAAAAGGTAGGTTTGGAGCAAAGCTGCGTGTGATGACTTCGCGGTAGAGCCGCAGTGCAGGTTCAGTTTTGTTTTGTATCAGATCAAGCCCGGCTAGAGCATTGATAGCCAGCAACATGCTGCGCTGCAGCTCTTGACACCTGCGACGCTGATTAGCAATACGTGCGCTGAGCACCTTTCGGGTTCCATTCAAAAAAAGTATTGCACAAATCATCATGAGGATTAATATGGGGAAGGTACAGCCAACAGCGAGGACGAAGAAAGAGAAAAGAAGGATCGCACGTACAGCGCCGAGCTGGGCCACGCCCAACCGCCCTGCTTGGCGACCTAGGGTGATTGCGACATGGCAGCAAGCCCGCCTGTACGATCCAGAGGCCAGAATAAATCAATCATGAGAGTGAAACGCACGCGCACCCACCACCAAGTAACACATGCTACCTCAAGTCTGTAAAAGGCTTGAGGATCATTTTGCGTGCCTCAGACCCAAGCTGTAGCAGCGTGTCAATCCAAGTTCCGGCGGCACATTCAGCGTGTGAGTGAGAAAGTCGTCAAAGACCAAGAACATGACTTGCTTGGATCATGGCATGCAAGTGAGGCCAACCAACAGACCTCGGTCACGAAGAGGTCTTGGAGTTGCTCAGCATCGCCGACGTGTGTGTGGGCCAATAGCTTGGCCAGCAACTAAGAAAGTGAAGTGTGCGCAGCGGCGTGTAAAACGCAGCGCAGTGAGGCTCAAAAGTGGCACGGTGGCACTCAACGGCCCATCACAGCATCACAGATGCAGGCACCTTGCACCCGCGACCTTGCGGGCGCGAAAACAACGGGCCAGGGGGTACCTACCGCGGGCTGGTGTTCTTTGAGCTTGTGACCAAGAGCGTTGTATGCGTCGCGCTCAATAGCACCAAACTTGAGCAATATAATGTGATGATGTTGCTGCGGCAATGGATTGATGCTGCGGTTACGGCGAAGGCAAAAGTGGCCCAGGACAGACCACAGCCCATGGTCTGGGTCCCTTTCTGCAGCCACGCCAAGTTATCTCCTTGGTCAGAGGTTCCAAGCGCAAGAATTGAAGCTGCCAATGTAAATCAGCGAGCACGTCGCTTGATATGGGTGTTCCAGTCACGCACCACCGGTGCTCTGTCTCCAGCGCCCTGCAATTCAAGTGCAATGTTCATACCCAGCGTGAGCTTTGCGGACACATACAGCTTTATTGTTAAAGGAGCAACGAGCAAGCTTGGGGTTGGGCGTGTGAGGGGGTGCAAATCATGAGCAGGCAAGTCAGAAAAAAAACTACTGCTGGCCTTACGATATCATGGCCCCAATGTGCGTATTGACGCCCTTGATGCCTTGGGCCTCGTCAAAAATCGTGCGCCAAAAGCGCACGAGACGGAGTGGTGAAATGATCTTCTCATAGCGCTTGGGCCGGCGTGCGTTGGGCGCATGGTGCACCTCGGCCGTCAGTACACGATAGGTCGTCAGCTACACACAATGGTGCACGGGTCAGACCAACGCATGGGCGCGAGAATTTTCATCGGCAAAGCCGCTCAATTCCGGTAATCAGGTCCCGCTCGAAGCGATCGGATCAGCAACGCCCTTTACCACGATATCGTATTGAGCCAGTTCAGCGGGGCGAATGGCCTGGGCCCCCTCAACGGCGCCTCGGTAAACAAACGTGCGAAAGGTGCTCGGCTGCCAGCAAGCACATGAGATGGTGGATGAGGCGGCACCAAGCATTGCAGAGTCAAGCTTGGTCTGGCTTGATCGGCGCACTCAGAATCGAATCACCAACCGCGAAATGCTTGCTGCACTCCTCAAGCCATTGATGTGGCAGATGCTGGGGAACCACAATTAGAGTGCATCCAAGAGGTATGCGTGACTGCTGTAATTGTTGCTGCTCGGCCATGCAGGATAGACATCTGCCGTGTTGCACCCAGAATGAACCAGATTACCGTCGCGATACCAGAGAATTGCGCATGCAAATGAGCTCTTTGATGGGCGAGCGCTCATGGCAAGGGTGTCCACGCACACGTAGAAAGCCTCGATGTGTGACTGGAACCCAGCACAAAACACATGATGCACAACGCGGCACCCAGTACAGCGCACGGTCTCATCCGGATGCGGGTCGGCTGGATCGCCTTTGCCTCCGCAATAGCACCGCTGCACGCGATCTAGCAAGGCGTATTGTCCATAACATGCACTGGTGATACCAAATACAATACGCTGCGCTATAACCTCGCTGCATTTCAGACCAGCAGAACCCAGATGCACATACCACGCTGTGTTGAACTAGGCTCGGGGGGACTCGCCAAAGTGGGCACCCATACAGCACCGCGTGGAGCAGGGTGGGCCGCAATGAGGGACAGCATCTGTAGGCTCTTGCCAACTCCCATATCATCGATGAGCATGCCTATCAGCAATCAGTGGTGCAGGATGACAGAGTGCCAGGAAAAGTGCATCGCACGCAACGGCTGGATCCAAACCCAGACAGACCTACCACCCCGAACGGATATCTTGGGTGGATCGCAGAAAGGCTGTTGGGTATAACAATGCACCCAATAGGAGGATTGCCGTTCAAATAATGGGCTGAGAAGGCGACACCATCGCGAGCACGCAACAAAAGATAGGGGCCCAAAAAAAAGGGCGTGAGGTACGTGGCTCTAAAGTCTGAGGCAACGGCTGACGAAAGGCTGAAAGAAAGCAAGACCCGAGTGCGAACATCATGGCGGCGCCAGGTTCTTGCTCACGGGCCAACATCCACTTTAATCCCGCCAGCTGGTAGCCGTAGAGGGTGGTTTGTAGTGCTGCAGGAGCGAGCGACTAGCGCAGCGAGCAGTTGACCAAGGTAAGGTTGAAAACTGTTGGAGGAGAGATATTTTGCTCAGACCAGCGGTGAATGGCGGGGTGCCAGTGTAAGATATGCACGTACTGAATCAGCCGATTCCGTGGGTGCAGCCCGGGCCGACACTTGCTCGAGGGCTCGCATGGCTTCTTGTGGTGTTGGCGGCGGCCTGGAGCTGCATGTTTGAGGTGACATTGGGCAAAAACAACGATGCAAAGGTCAAGACACGAGTCCCAAAGCGCTGCCCAATGTGCGTGAACACCATTCGTTGCAACAACGACTTACATAAAAGATGGAGAAATGTTGAGCAACGCGGCAACCTTGCACCATGCAGCGTGGGTTAGGCTGGAGAAGACGCTCAAGATCAGCTAAGGGCGATGAGCGAACGTTGGCACAATTGGTGGGGGGTGAGCAGTGGAAGTGCACGATCTCGGGCCCAGGCAGGAGTGTGCCCACCTTGGGCTTGGTCTGGCCATCCAGACAAGAAATTTGCAGGGCACGATGCTGGATGAGGTTTTTCAAGTCGTGCAGCGGACGATTAGCAGCCACGAATCCCCAAAGCGTTCCAGGCCGCGAAGCCATGGCAAGGACCAGGAGCTGAACATCAGCTAGCCGTGCCAGGTGCATCAGGCGGTGGTCTGGCAGTGGTGAGTGAGGGCTGGGGCTACCGATTTCAGTCAGGGGAATTTCAGCCACGGGGATCCATTGAGGGCCTGGGGGTGCCACGGCCACGGCCGCCATGCGGACATGCGGCGGA